TTATTTAATCTAAGCAAACCTTCCATTCATTTTATAATCATATATATTGTTTTCTATGGGTCTTGCTTCAGTAGTATTAGAGTAGTGTGTAATTATTTATGTGAAATTTTCAATTAATAATGTAACAAAAAAATTTACTAGTAAAACAATTTCTGATTCACCTAAGTTTCATTTGACTATATATGGATTAGCTAATTGGTTTAAAATATATTAAAATTTATTTAAAATTTTTATTTTTTGTCTAAAAATTCACTTTATTAATCACTCTAAAATTCATTTTTATTTTGTGCCAAACAAACTAGCATGTCTAACATTTAAATTTTTCTTGTAAGCTTTTTTTTTTTTTTTGGCATATAAGCTAACATTAAGTGTGTTTTGTGTTAGATCAGTAATTTCACATGGTATACCAAGACTACTTAATTATTTTGCCATGACAAGTGCTCCATTCCATTGAATTTAATTATTTCAAAATAATTAAAAATGAAAAACACAAGTAATTTTTTATTAATTTCGAAAAAAAATTCATTGAATTTAATTATTTATACTTTTTTATCATTTAAAAATATTTTTTCATGAAAAAAATGAACCAACATCACTTGTTAGTGTTTAGTTTTTTCTAATGCTATTCTAATTTGATACTTCTTCCAAGGAGTAGAGTCTTATCAGGTGTTGTGTTAGCTACCTAGGCTAAGAGAATCTTAACCACCAAACAGAAAATTTAATATAATTAAATATATATCACCTTGAAACTGTTCCTTTATTTTTTATTATTGAGTATCTTTTAGCGTCAAAATGGGTTTGCTTTATTAAAATCATCACATTAGATTGAGCACCTAATAGTGATTAAAAGGTTTATATTGAATGTTTGATTGTTGAAAAATTGAATCAGCTAAACTACTTTACAAGTCACTTTTGAAAGTTTTAATAGACAAATCACAAAATTTATGAACCAATTATATATATATATATATTTAAAATTTCAAATATAGGGTGTTGGTTCACCGACAGTATCCTTACTCATAGGGAACCAATGGAATTTCTATAAAATAAAAAAAAATAAAAAAAAAAAAAAAACTTTATGAAAAATCTATTTCAGTCAAAAAAAAAATCATTAAGGTAACTTTAGTAACAGGAAAAAAATGTAGAGTATTTTTTTAAAAAAACAATTAATAAAAAAGAAATTCAAGTATCTTGTCCCCTAGCTTATCGCCGTCCATCCACCTTTTCCTTTGTTTTTCTACCCTTACCACCTCCTTCCTAAAGATTGGCTTGCCCGTTCCCTCTTACCAACCTCTTTACCGTCCTTTCCTTTCAACCAACTTTCTTCGCATGCAATTGCTCTTCCTCAGTACCCCTCCCCCACTGCTAGCCTCTTTTCGATTCCCTCACCTCTTCCCTCACCGTTAGCATTCTTCCTTCCACATTCCATTTTCTTCACCATTTTTTTTTTATTTTCAATTTCTCTCTTCCACCCCATCCCATCTCACCCACAACCCTCAAAGCACCACTCATTGTAGTGAGGTAGCCTACGCCACCCCCACATTGCCACAACCCAGCTTCTATCGCCACAACCATGTCTTTATTGCTACACCCACCAAACCAAAAAAGATAAGTACAAAACAAATAGGATTGACTTTCTCTCAAATTCAAATATGAACTTGATCATGATATTTGGGGTGGTAAGAGATAACAAGAGTCCCTTTTTAATATTTCGAATGGCATTTTGTACGATTATCTATAATCATAATCCTTTCATTTTTATCATAATTGTCTTCAAAAAAATAAATAAATGTATTTTTATCTAATATATAGAAAATGAGATAAAAAAAAAAGTGTGCTTAATTGTTTTGAGTTGGGTTTGAGTCAAGGTGGGTACAGGTGTGGATTGGGTTAAATTTAGGGGGTGTTTGAGAAGAAGCTTTTTTAGCTTTTTTGGTTAAAATAACACTAAAAGACAAAATAGGTTAAAATAGTTAATAAGACAAAATGTCACATCAAATACATAATTATTTCACTTTTTCTCTCACAAACATTACATTCAACTACAAAAAAATCTAATTATCTTTTAAAACACAAAAAATTTAGCCTCCTAAAATAGCCAAAAACTAAGATAACCTACTAAAATAATAACTTCCCAAACACCCACTTACTCTAAGGTCATGTTTATTTACCGACCTGGGTGGCTGAATTGGATTGTTATAGTTATGGATCTCACCTACAACATGTTTGGTGATGATTTGGGATGGAAGATTAACAGTACGAGGGGTTTAGTAATCCCTTTCATTAGGGTGATTAGTTTGGCTGGATTTTGGGTGGGATTAAAAAAATAATAAATGAATTGAGAAATAAAAACTATTTTTTTAATTTAATTTTTTTTTACCAAGTGCATCTGTTTATTTTAATAATTATTCTAGTTTTTTTAATGTAGAAATAATTTATTTATTTATTCTATATAAAAATAATTGAACAATCTCATCACTAATCATTTCTCACACTATCATCAAAATAAGTACATTTTTACTTAATCTCCTTATTAACAATCTACATATTAACAATCTTTCTATTAATTATCCTTTCACTAACAATTTCATCCAATCTAATTTGTCAAACAAACGTGACCTAATGAAATTGTTAACTGATGTATTAACATTGTCAGATGCTATCTCGTCCATTAACTGTGGTGAGAGATTAGCCTTCGTTTGGCTAACTTAGTTGGGCTAAAAAAGTATAAAAGATAAAATAGATTAAATAAGCCAATAAGACAAAGTGATACTTTGGAAAGTTGGTAAAAAATTGACTTTTTGACTTTTTTTAGTTTTTCGATGGCTTTTTTGGCCAAAAAAACTGACTTTTTTTGTAGTTTTTTTTTGTGTAAAAAAACTAAAAAGTCAAAAAGTTGGCTTTTTTAGCAAATTCTCAAATTGTCCAAAAATGTCACATTCAAACCATAATCATTTCACTTTTTTTTTTCTCACAAAAGTCAAAAAAGTAAAACCAAATAAACTTTTTAATTCCAAGCTAAAAAAGTCCTAACTCAAAAAAAGCCAACTAAAAAAACTAATACCAAATGACGACTTAACAGTTGAGAGAGAGAAAGAGAGAGTGTGGAGAAGAGAGAGCATCTCACGTATTCTTTTAAGAGGCTTTTATATATAAGTCTTAATTTATGAATATATTATTTTAGTAATTTTTTATGAAAAAATATAAAGAAAAATAGAGAGAGTGATGTAATAACTTATAATGACTTTTTGACTAAAACTACAGGTTGCCAAATGAGGCCTTATACTTTATTAAGTCCTAATTAAGTTTATTTGGACCTTCAAGTCCCATTAAATTTTTAATAATCGAAATTGCCTTTCAAATAATGATTGTTCATCATTTATGATTATTTATAGGTATATATATATATATATATATATGATGATTTGACATTTATTTTGATTTTTAAAATTTAAAATATCAACTTTCAGATTGAAAAAACTAAAAACAAAAAATTATGTACTAAAAAAAAAACTAAATTCTTTTTTGTGCAAAACTGAAAATTTTGTATTTATAAAGGAGTATGATAATGAAACATTGATGTGAAAAAAAAAAAAAAAAAAAAAAAAAAAAAAAAACTCTAAAAATGAAAAAAACTAATAATGTTCTCAGTTTCAAAACTGAAAAAAAAAAAACTGATAATGTTATCGGTTTTATTGGATAATTGAATCAAACCAATAAATAGAAAAGTAAAACCGTTTAATCTCATACTCTATTTTTTTTATCATTTAGTGAAACAATTATTTGAAATATTACTATGTAAAATTGATAATATTCTCAATTTCACTAAATATGACCTATTATTTCAAAAAATCTTAAATAAAACCTGAACTACCATAACATTTATAAATAAAACTTTTAAATAATTAACTCTTTTTTTAATAGTACATTTTATTATTTAAATTTATAATCATACAATTCCCGTCCTAACTTAACACACAATTTTAGCGTATAACGTTTTCATTAAAACATCTATTCACTCACCAAATTAATAAATAAGCAATACACAAAAAGACTCCATTTGTTTTCAAAGGTAGGATTGAGGGGATTAATAGTAAAGGGATTAATAGTGAGGGAATTGTTAGTGAGGAGATTGATAGTGAAGGGATTAAGTAAAATTGTGTTTGTTTTGATGATAGTGTAGGAATTGTTAAATTATTTTTATATAAAATAATAAAACAAAAAAAATATAAAAAATTAAACATTAATATTTATAAAAAAAATCGCAATATATAAAAAATAAAAATAATAAAAAAATTTCTAATCCCTTCACTATTTTTCTAATACAATCTCCACCTCCTCCATCTCAATTCCCCTTCCAACCTCCATTTATATCATCTCTTCCATTCTAATCTCCTCTCTAACTCTACAAATAAACACAACACTAACCCCACCTCCATCCTAATCTCCTCGCATCTATTTAACCCCGAAACAAACAAGGCCAAAAGGATTTTATATCACTTTTTATCATGTACTACATTTCAACACATGTTTTTGGAATGATTTGAGAAATTAATTAAAAGTTAATTTTTTAATTTTTTTATTCTTTTTTATAAAAAAATATAAAAAATAATATGACCAAAAATAAATTAAAAATTAAAAGCTAACTTCTAATTAACTTTCCACATTTGCCCTTCACAAATTTGATTAGAAATGACCTTGCACTGGCAAAAGATAAAAAGTCCCAATTTAGCTCATTATTGGAGATGCTGAAAGCCAGTTTTTACTTGGGATCTGCATTTTGTGTAGTTATTCTTTCTCGATCTATTAACTTGTCCTTTAGTAATAATTATGTTTCGCTGATTAATTTAACTTAGGTTAACTTGTTTTGTAATCTTTTTATTTTTAACCTCGAAGAGAAGCCCATCTTTGACTGTCACTTCCGCAACTTCTCTTCACAGTTCAAGCCCTTTCTTTTCTACCCAAAAAGCAAAGAATAGAAAAGAAAGTGCTCTTTCTTTAAAAAGATAAAAGCTATATCTCTTCATTCTCCCATGCTCTGGTAGTTTCTTGTTAATGGGTTCTCTCAGTTTATCACTTTTATTTCCTTTAATATCTTTCTTATTTTTGCTAATTATTATTAAATTTTTGCTCCCAATAGAATTTATTCTATCCAGTCCATTCCAGTCCACACCCCCATGGTAATATTAATAAGAAAGTTAAAAGTGAAGGTGTGTGTTTGGATTTTATTGTTTTCTTGACAATATAGCCCATGGATTAGGGTTTTGTAAGCTCATCAAGCTTTTCCCCATATTGGTAATTTCCACAATCTTAGGTTTACTTGGAGAGCTTTTTGGAAGTAGCAAGAAAGAACCCCACACACCCTACTCACCCACTCACACCCCCACTCTTCAATCTGGCTTTTTCTTTGCTGCATTTGGGTGTGGAATGCAAGAGACATGAGGTGGGGTTCTAAATCCTTCACCAGTGGATCTGCCTTTTCATATTTTGTTTTGGGGGGTTTAGTTTTTCAAGATTTGATATCTGGGTTCTGAACTCATTGTAGATTTGAGGGGGGGTTTTGAGCTCCAACTTCCAATCTCCCTCAAATGGGTTTATGAGTTTCTTCATTTTTTTAAGATCTGGCTTCTAAATGATGCCCTGTTCATCTTCTTGACCTTCTTTTGTTAATTCACTGGATTCAGAGTCCATTGTTTTTTTAGAAAATTTGTCATTGTGAGTGTGAATTGAGTTCAATTTTGAGTGTGAAAAAATGCCTCCAAGCAAGTGGTGGCAAAAGGACACAAGAAAGGGAACTCCAGTGGTTGTAACCATGGAGAACCCTAATTACTCTGTAGTCGAAATCGATGGGCCAGACTCTGCATTCCGGCCAGTGGACAAGGATAGGGGCAAGAATGCCAAGCAATTCACATGGGTTTTGCTTCTCAAAGCTCACCAAGCTGTCGGTTGCGTCGCGTGGCTCGGCAATGCTCTGTGGGCATTGCTTGGTGCCATCAAGAAAAGATTGATATTAAGGCAAGGTGTGACAGTGGAAAATGAAAAATCTGGGAAAGGAAAGCTATTGTTTAGGGTCATTTTAGCTTTCTTAGTGACTGCTCTTTCATTTCTTGCATTTGAAGTGATTGCCCACTTCAAAGGTTGGCCTTATTTCCAAAACCCCAATTTGCACATCCCACAAACCTTGGAGATTCAGGGTTGGCTCCACACTGTGTATGTTACTTGGTTGAATTTCCGTGAAAACTACATAGCTCCTCCAATTCAAGCCCTCTCTAGCTTCTGTGTTGTTCTCTTCTTGATACAATCCGCCGACAGGCTTGTACTCTGTCTAGGCTGCTTCTGGATCAAGTACAAGAAGATCAAGCCACAAATCAATGGGGATCCATTTAAATCAGAGGATGTGGAGAGCCCTGAATGTAACTATCCCATGGTTCTTGTCCAGATTCCAATGTGTAATGAGAGAGAAGTAAGTATTGCAAGAATTTTCTTGATTAGATCTTGAATTGTCTTTTTGTTTCTTTAATCAAGTAGTTTAAGCTCACTATTCAAGTTTGTGAGTACCAATTTGAGTAGTAGAAGTAACAACAGTAGAAAATGATAGAGAGGTAAGTATATAGCTTATAAGAATTGATTGCAGCACTTGAGTTGTTTTTTCCTTGATTAGATCTTTTTTTTAAGATTATTATTTTTCTGTGGAACATGTAAGTTTAAGCTCACTATCCAATTTGTTTGTAAATTGACACTTTATAGTAAAAGTGACATTAACAGTAGAAAATGATAGAATGAAATAAAAGTTCGGCAGTGCCATGACAATTGGCATTCAAGTTCTTCGCGATAGTGATGATGATGATGATGACACTGGTATTGACATTTGTAGGTATATGAACAATCTATTTCGGCAGTTTGCGAACTTGATTGGCCGAAAGACCGATTGTTGATTCAAGTTCTTGACGACTCTGATGATGAAAGCATTCAGTGGTTAATCAAGGAAGAGGTCTCCAAGTGGAGCCAAAAGGGTGTCAACATTATCTATCGGCATCGATTGGTTAGAACCGGTTATAAAGCCGGAAACCTTAAATCCGCAATGAATTGTGACTATGTCAAGGCGTACGAGTTTGTCGCAATCTTTGATGCTGATTTCCAACCAAATTCCGATTTTCTCACACAGACAATTCCACATTTTAAGGTGGGTACCATGTAGTATTCATGTTGGTTTTCCCAATGAGTTCCCGACTTGTTGGAGATTGTCTCACTCGTTCATTTTGTGTTGTAGGACAATCCAGAGTTGGGTTTGGTTCAAGCTAGGTGGACGTTTGTGAACAAGGATGAAAATCTATTGACGCGGTTACAAAACATTAATTTGTGCTTCCACTTTGAGGTGGAGCAACAGGTAAATGGAGTCTTTCTCAATTTCTTTGGTTTCAATGGGACTGCCGGTGTGTGGAGAATCAAAGCATTGGAAGACTCTGGTGGCTGGCTTGAGAGGACAACCGTAGAGGATATGGACATTGCTGTTCGCGCTCATCTTAACGGCTGGAAATTCATTTTCCTTAATGATGTCAAGGTAATTTCTTGTCAATTGTTTTTTTTTTTTTTCACAATTTGAATACTAGTATCATATTAATTACTTTTTGACAATCCTGAAATGTTGATAATCATATGAATTCAAAAGAATTTGAATACTTTTGGAAACTCCCACAAGATAAGTTGGGTACAATCTAAAGCGTCTCTTGAAGTTGGAGAATATTGCATAATGTTGTGTATATGGAACTAATTTTCAGGTACTTTGTGAAGTTCCCGAGTCATATGAAGCTTACAAGAAACAACAACATCGTTGGCATTCGGGTCCAATGCACCTCTTTCGGTTGTGCCTTCCATCCATCATTACTTCTAAGGTTTGCCTCACTATCGCTTTTTGTGTCTTGCTTTCCTTTCTATGTAGATTTCTTGATCTGCTGTCTCTAAATTTTGCGTCTTGCCATGGTATTGCAGATATCATTTTGGAATAAAGCAAACTTAATTCTACTATTCTTTCTCTTGAGGAAACTCATCCTCCCATTCTATTCGTTCACATTGTTTTGCATCATTCTTCCTTTAACCATGTTTGTTCCTGAAGCCGAGCTACCCATCTGGGTTATTTGTTACGTCCCCGTATTCATGTCATTCCTAAGCATTCTTCCATCACCAAGATCATTCCCATTTGTTGCCCCATACCTTCTATTTGAGAACACAATGTCCGTGACCAAATTCAATGCTATGGTATCTGGACTCTTCCAATTGGGAAGCTCCTACGAATGGGTGGTCACAAAAAAGGCAGGTCGGGCATCAGAGCCTGACCTATTGGCCGCAGAAGAGAGGGAAACTAAGGCAATGAATCACCCACAGCTCTCTCGTGGCGCATCTGATAGCGGGCTCTCTGAACTCAACAAATTGAAAGAGCATCAAGAAGCAGTTCCCAAACCACCAAAGAAGAAAATGAACAAGATATTCAAGAAAGAGCTTGCCTTGGCGTTCTTGTTACTCACTGCAGCGCTCAGGAGCCTTTTATCAGCTCAAGGTGTACACTTCTACTTCTTGCTTTTCCAAGGTGTGTCGTTCCTCCTTGTGGGTCTCGACCTTATTGGTGAACAAGTAAGTTGAGCTGACACTAGGGAAAAAGAAAAAGGAAAAGAAAAAAAAGTAGATAAAAATAAATTCTATCAGTTTGAAGCTGCGAAATTCATACCGGCCTATTTATTTAAGGTGCTCAGTTAGTCCTCTGCCTTTGGTGCCCCATGCAGGTGAAAGCTAACCGGCCTGCAATTTCAAAATAAGTTCTTTTCTTCTCACTCACAATTGCGCATATAGATTTTTTATTTTTATTTTTTTCCCATTTTCGTTCATCGATTGGCCTTTGATCTTGCTATAATTTTTTGGGTAAATTGTGACATATAGGCCAATCTTCAACATTAGGCCATCATTGTTGTCGTCATCGTAAATGTTCTTCTTTCTCTTCCACTTATTCGGTTCTTTAATTGGTGATGTTGTTTGTTATTATATGTAAGGACAGAGGGTATTTTTATTTTTTTTTCATTTGTTTAATTTTCTTTGTATTGTGGATTAAAGTGTGGTTTGTGTTTATATTAGATTAGCTCATCTTTGAATTCAAAGAAACCATCAAGGCTTAGCCATTTGGTTTCCCTGAGATTACATTACATGTAACTAATATGTAAATTTGCACCAGTTATATATCTATTTGATTGAAGATTCTCTCTCTCTCTCTCTCTCTCTCTCTCTCTCTCTCTCTCATTGTGCCATTTATTAATTTTAAATTTGTTTATTGCCTCTTTTTTCTATAGGATTCACGTAAATATACATACTCATGTATTTATTTTGTTTTTGTTTTTGTTTGTTTATGCTTACTTATATTCTCAATTTATTAATCAATCAAAAATTCCAATTAAACATAGAGAAATCATATTCAAAAAATTGTATCCATGTACTCCTTGCACTATTATGGTTGGGCATTTGAGCAGTGGTTAATTTTTGGAGAAATATTAGAAATAAACTACGGTCATGTCTAAGCAGTCTAAATTAGATGAGGATAATATTTTTATGGTTAGTTTTGAAATTATAAATATCTCTTCATTGTATATTCAATTCTATGTTTAAATTAGGAAAAATTAGTGAAATATTCTTCTTCAACTTTGTGTAGTAGGAGAGGTTTAATATTTTTTTTATTAGTTAAGGCTCATTGATGAAATTTATATGTCAGGACTAAAATTTCTCTGAGTTAAGTCGAAATTTCTCTGAATTGGACATAAATTTCTCTGAATCAAATTTTTTTTATAAAAATTTGATTGGAAGGATTAAAACATGGGATTAGGATTATTAATTCGTGGGCTCAATCATTTGTTTTGACATTTTGGTTTAGGATTATTAATTTAATGAATAATTAATCCAATAAATTTATAGAATTATTAGTAATGGGATAAGAGTGGGATAGTTAATATCACACTAATTTGATAGAATTATTAATACTTTATTGTTAATGTTGTGAATCAAACATAACCCTGGGTGATAGGTGACGTTACTGGTACCTCGATATACGTCTCTTTTTTTAAGTTGGAGTAAATCAGGACTACGAACCTGAGCCTCGGGTGTGCCCTGATGACTTCCCTTTTTTCTTAACTCAAACTGATTTATTATGTGTCGGTGATGATTTTTTCTATTTTTTATTTTATTTAGTGGGAAATGAATGAGAAAATAGTGTCGGCAGCAACAGAGAGTTGAGGATTCTTATTAATAGGAAGAAAAGGATGTCACGTGTGACCACTGTGGGCCCTACACCCACACTATGACCCCTCATTGACCATCATCGATTCCATTCATTTCTATCGCTATCCACCCCTTTAATTATGAATGTAGCATTATACCGTATTTGTTAGGGGATTTAAAAAGAAAATAAATAAATAAATAAATAAAATATATTTATATTTCATTTAGGTATTATTTGGAATAAATTAAAAAGTTAAAAAATTATTAAAAAAATAAAAAAACTAATACTATTTAAGGGTAGTTTATAGGGAAATTACTAGGGCAAAATTATTATTTTGCCTTTTGAATTATATTACCTAGAAGTCAAAAAGTTAAAAGTTAAAAAGTCAAAAGGATAAAATGGTTATTTTGATTTTACAATAATATTTTATTACACATCTTTTTTTATAAAAAGTCAAAAAAATATTTTAAACATACATCTTTTTTCTCTATTTTTTTAACAAAAAAGTCAAAAAATACACTTATATCACACATTTCAAACAACTATTTAGTTTCATACTCCTTTTTCTTTTTCATTTCTAAATATCTCTTTAAATTTCTCAGCTAAACACAATATTATAATTTCTAAATTTCAAACCTTGAATCGCAATTATAGGTTAAGCAAGATAAATTCTATATAATTTAATAATCACAAATTAAAAATTGACGTTTATGTCTCATCATTGTAAATTTTGTCGTGAAAAAATAAAAAAATAAAAACAATTTGGGAATCTTAAATATTTTTCTTTATCATGTGCTGCATGATGAACTGAGACCACATAAGACTCCTACTTCTTACATATAATAATTGAATAATGTCAAATTAAAAATTAAATAATATTATAAAAGAATTGTTTATGAATCTTAAATAATTTCTTTAATTATGGGTTATATGATGGGCTGAGCCCACATAGGACAGCTACCTCCTACCTCTCGTGTACTGTCTCATGTGTTGGCTGCCTCTCCCCTCCTCTCTTTTAATTTGTTTTCACCTACATTTTATTATTTTTATGAGTATTCAAAATCAAAATTTAGATTATTTTTTATATTTAATGATGTCATTCTACTTTACAATATCTAAGATAACTATTTCTTTCACATTTTCTCTGACTATTAACATATCATATCTTATACACATCCAATGCTGGCGTTTGAAAAGTGGGTTGGCTTTTTAATTTTTTCACTTTTTTAACTATTTTAGCTTGGGTTAAAAAGTTTGGTTTGAGAAGGATTTTTTGAATTTTTAACTTTTTTGACTTTTTTTATGAGAGAATAGTGTAATGATTATGAGTTGAATGTGATATTTTGGTTTTTGTGACTAAAATAATCTATTTTATCTTTTATAACTAAAATAGTCAAAAAAACCCTAAATAACTCTTCCCAAATGGAGCCAATGGCTAAAAAACATGCAAAAAACATTTTATGTCAAATAACTCTTCCCAAACGGAGCCAATGGCTAAAAAACGGAGCCAATAGCCTATTTTGTCTATTATTAAATTTAGAAAGTGGATATAAAAATGAACTTTTATATCATTTTTTTAAAAAAACATTTTGTTAAATAAAATGTAAATAAAATATTTAAAAATGGTTTTCACATAGTATAAAAAATAACTTAAAGTTGTTTTGAAAAATTGACTATTTTAGTTTGTTTTAAATTTTCTTACTAAAAAACATGCAAAAAATTAATAATAATAATTGACTTTTTTGTAGATTTTTTTCCTTACTTTTTAATTATTATAATCAATTGCCAAAACAAGGCTTATTATTAAAAAATTTGTAAATTAATTATCAAAAAGTTTACTCCCAATTCTTTCATCACATTTGATATTTTTACATAAATATTTTAACTCACTAAAAAATAATAAAAGACGCTTTATTGAATCAATTTTTTTCCTAATAGAAAATTTGTGTTTTAAATATCAACAAAACGTCTATAAAACACAAACAAATTGTTTTGTTTATGAAAAATCAATTTAAAGATTTACGTGGCTATTTGTTGAGGCTGGCTTGAATTCCTAATGCGATTGTAAATTTCATATACATCATGTTATGTATTTTTGTATTATAGGTTATGTAATATCGTTTTTTAATAGAATTATGATAATTTATGATTCAAAATAAAATTATGTATTTATGTGATAATGTTATATATTTTATAATTAAAAAATATTTGAATATAAAAATGTGTAATATTAGGCTATTTTGGCATGAACTTTTTGGGATAAAATAGTCACAAAATAGGTTAAAAAATTAATAAGACAAAATGTCATATTAAAATCATAATCATTTCAAAAAAATTTCTCACAAAAGTCAAAAAAATTAAAAAAATTCATTCTAAATAAGACTTTTTAACTTTAGATTTAAATAATTAAAAAAATTAAAAATTAAAAAATCAACTGGCATCCAAACGAATACTTATACAAAAATATGTAATTTCATTTTCAATTACAAACATATTATAAAAATAAGCATAGGGGTGTAAATTTGGCCCGGCCCATGTTGGGCCTCGCGGACTCCAGTCAAAATTCGGGCCAGACCACGTGCCAAAAAATTAGGCCTAGGCCCAGGGGGTATTCGGACCTTGGGCGGACCGGTGAGTTTGGGCTCTGGCTTGGGCAGGCCTGAACAATTTTTTTATTTTTATACCAAAATTTTATTATTTTTCATAAAAAAATATATATATATATATTGGGCCTCGGGTGGGCAAGGCCTTGAATAGGCCTTAAGCGGGCCGATTGGCCGAGCGATGGGTCGAGTCAAAGCGGCCTGGATCGGGTTTCAAAATAATGGAGCAAACCTAAGGTCTCGAACTGAGCTTAGACCCGGGCCCAAACTAATCGGACTCACCCGAGATTGTAAACCATTTTTACACTCCTAAATAAGCATGACTTGTAATGTAACCCATGATGTGATTGATTGTATTACAACTGTTTGCTTTGAATTCTCATATTACTTATTTTTTTTAAAAAAAATTATTACAAAAATATGTATAAAAAATTAAAAAAATAATGTGATATAAACAAGTCAATAAATTAATAAATAACTTATTTGAGGTGTTTCCATTATTCAACATAGTTAACTATGTGGCATATTAAAAAATAAAAAATATTTGAGACACCTAATTTATCACTCTTTAAAATCACTCATAATAGTATGTATGACAAGTATCAAATTTTAATTTATTAAACATGCTATGAGGTTTAATCTCAAAACCATGTCATTCGGGATGCTAAATCAGATGGATATAACATCATTGTTAAAAAATTTGAAATGGTCATATATTTTGCATAAAATTATGTGTAATAAAAAATATATAATTTTTTAAATTTTTATTAACATGTGTCAAAGTATAATATGAATTTTATTTTTTGAAATTTAACTAAAACTATATACATTTTTTCATAACTTATATAATTCAAAATGATAGAGATCCAAATTAATTATCAAATATCATGAGTATTTATTAGTTAGAAAATTTGATAATTAATTTGAAATTTCTAACATTACCCTATATAATTAAACAAAAATACTAAAGATTCAAATAAATTATCAAATTTTTTACACCATACACAAAGACTCATATAAATATGGGTAATGTTAGGAATACCAACATTTTTACTAAATAAATGACTAAATGTCTCACATAGGTGTATAGTCTATAATTTTATAAATTTCATACATAAATAGGATATTTAATTATTTATTTAATAAAAAATTTAAATTTTATATTATTTTTTTATAAATATTATATAAAATATTTAATAATTCATTTAAGATGCGTGAAGGTAGTGGTACAGTGGGTACATTAACTGCAACTAACAAAGAGAAACTTCATTGAATGAGTGAATACACCGAAAACATACGGTTCTGCACAGCCTTTTATTTTCACCCACAACACACAGGGTCATCTATTAAAGCCTGCTCATCGTCACTAATTTAGTTAAAAAAATGAATTACAC